ATATATATATATATATATATATATATATATATATATATATGAAGTGTTGTTTAAACAATCTTTTCCCATACTCTAATATCATGATATGCCCAATGCTACTCTGATATTTACAAATTCATGATATCAGGCAATGATATCATACTTTCGTTCATTTGATGACTAATTAAAACTTCACTTATACTTACGAACTTCTTCCTGAGAAAGAACAGATGAAATCTTTAATTCTTCAGTATTAGCATTGGAGGTTTTCCCACTGTGCCCACCTATGGCCTTTTCATAACAGGTGACTTACCAGCAGTATTTAGTGACATCTTAAGTTCATCAGATCTCTTTTGAATATCCTTACAAATTGTACTGTCATCGTCTCCCAAAACATCTACATTCTTGTCAATCATGATTTGTATAAAAGACATCTGTAACACCACAAGGCAAAAACAAGATCCTTTGTAATTTCAAGTACTTTAAAATTGAAATCAATAAAAAATGGAAATCTAAAATGATGAAGAAAATAGCAGTTACTACAAGCCGATATCAACCTGTGAAATGAAGTCTCTGTCTAAAATGGAGACTCTTTTGCAACATACATAACATAGTTAAAATTTCATACATCTTGCAAAGAATGGAGGACCTAGTAAAGCAAAGCAACATTTCAGAACTGATTTGCTGCCAGAATTCCTGTGAGTGAATCAAATTAATGAGTTCAAAGGTTTCTCAAATTGGTGATTTTTTTGCAGAGTATGGGGAAGAGGTGGAGTTTTATTGTGATGGTTTGAATGGGATGCCTGTCTAATCTCAGGCACCACAATATATGATACCATCTTTGTAAGACCTTTTGGGTGGTTTAAGTGGCTTGGCTTTCCTGGAGGAAGTATGTCATCGGTTAGAGTTAACATTACAGAAGCTAGGTGCCATTTGCTGTGTACTCTCTGTGCTTCGTGTTTGCTGCCTAAGATAAGAGCCCCCAGGTCTCTGATTCCTGTTTGGTTGTCCTTCCTTCCTGCAGCCATGCTTCTCTCTCATGACTTTGAAGGAATGTAATCTCTCTACCGCTCTAATCCCAAATAAATATCTACTTCTATAAGTTGCCTTACTCCTGGTGTTTTATTAAAGAAATAGAAAAATGTCTAAGAGAAGAAGTTGGTGAGAAGAGGGATCTTAGTTGAGGAAATGCCTACATCAGATTGTCCTAGTGTGTAGGGAAGTCTATGGGATGTTGTCTTGATTAACAGTGGAAATTGTAGGGCCCAGATCTCCAGGATGGTGCCACCCTTGAGCTATTAATCACACAAAGAAAGATATGAGGTGCAGGACAGGAAGCACAGCTCTTACACAGTTTCTGCTTCATTTCTTGCCTCCAGGTTCCTACCCTGCTTCAGTTTGGGCCCTGACATTTCTCAGTAATTAACTGATAACTAGAAGTAAATCATGAAGTGTAACCTGTCCTCCATAAGTTGCTTTTCATCAGTGTTTTATCATAGCAATAGTAGCAAATTAAGCCACTTTCTAAATTGAACAAGCTATTCCCTGGGCTACTTCATTGTGAGTAACATCACCATGATTTCCTTCCTGTGTACCTTATTCCTGGAAACTACTAGTTAAAATATACCCTTGCTTTCT